ATTTTCTGTTTTACAAATTCTCTTCGACAAAATTGAAATTTTTTATTGCAATAACAACGGTTTGTTTTATTGTAAATTGAATTACAAATTTTATTACTCTTCTTTTTACTAAAATTTCCACTTATTGACCAAAGACTTAAAAGTTGTAAATATTCCTTTAATTTTAATTTCTAAAAGATGATGATTTCATTAATTTTTGAAAATTATACATTTTTTGAAATTAATAATTTTTAAATTATATTTGAAATTATAAAATTTCTTTAGACAAACTCACTTTCTCTGGATTGCATAATTTATCTTTTCTCAGCTTATTCATTAAAGATTTATTTTGATAATAAAAATAAATAATTTATACCTAATATTAAATAATAATGTACTATAGCTTAGAATCAACCTAAAAAGACTTAAAGTAGAAAAGTAATCAATGAAACTATCAACAAGTTGAAACAGTATTTATTTTTAGTATTATTTTTCTTTGGGTATTTAATCTAATATAACAAAATACATATCACACCATTATTTAAAGAAACTTCATTTTTTCTTTAGATGGAATTTTTTGAAACAATTTAATTTATAATTTAAAAAATTCCAATTTTTTTCATAAGGGTTCCGCGTCACATTAATACGGCCCTGGCTTCTGATTAATACCGCCGAGTTCTTAGTATTCCCCTCCAAGTCACCGGTCTCCCCACCAAGTCTCCCATTTCCAACTATAAAAGTCAGACGCCCGGCGCCAGATTTCTCATTTTCCCGAAGTTGTGTCAGCAAATCACTCTCCCATTTAATTTTTTACGTCGACTAAAAATCACGAAAACTACAAATAAAAAAAGGTTAGAAAATGTTTATGGCTAGTAAAATAAGTTTTATTTTCTTTAAAATAGTTGCGACATATAGTAGAAACTACAAAGACTTTTGAGAATTACAATTTAATATTCAAACATAATTAATTCTAATATAATATAGGTTCGATTGTTTGTTCAGTTTTAGTGCTATCGTTATTTTATTTCTTCCGAAAGAATTAAGAAAAATCTTCCCCAATTTATTATTACATATAAGTAACACAACGGGAGTAATCCATATTTTATTCTCTCACAGATCTCAATACAGTAAAATATGATATTGAAGTTCGAAGAACCTTTAAGAAGAAGAAAAATTAATTTCACCATTATTTTCTATAGTAATAATAATATAAAAATTATTTTCTCGGTTAAAAATTCTTTTTTAATTCTCTTTTTAGAAATTTACATACCCCGGTAAAAAACTGTACTGAAAGTTTAAATATTCTACCGACAATAAGTGTTGTGGGTTCAGCTCCTCTTCTCATTATTATAAGTAGTAATTTTCTTGAATGAATGGACAAATTATACCAATTTGCCGTACATCTAATAAAATTAATTGTTCAGTTACATGAAAAGTAAAAATGCCCTGAAAAAAAAATGTGACACTGTATGAAGATGTTTTATTATAAAAGAAATGAACTTTAATAGCTAGTTTATTTAACTCCAAATGAAAAAGTAAATTGATGGAAATTGAGATATACATGTTGCTAAACAGACAACAACTGCTGTCTGATAAATGTTGATTTGGTAGAGTTAAAAATAAAATATGAAGTATTTGAGTTGTTGCATATATTCCAAATCTTATGTTACCGTCAGGATTTTCTACACTCATCATATACTGAATAGAATCATTAAATTAAAAACTAAACTGATAACTGTTGTAAGAATTAATATTTATAGAATCTTACCTGAACCATCGTAACGCTCAAGTCTACTATACTAAACCCAAATACAAAAAGATAGGTAGTGGAAAATATTTCCTGTATAGTATCTATAAATCTTGAAAAGTACAAGGTTTCAATTAAGTGAAATCTAATTTGCCACTTGTATTTTTTATTATATTGATACAAACATTAGAAGTTCTCTGTGCATTTCCACGCAGGTTTTAATTTCGCGATGGAGTTTCTTTTGTACATCAATATCATCACATAAATCAGGATGATCATTTATGACACAATTGAGCCTATCTCTGTGAACAATAAATATTCTAACAGACTTATAAATTTACTATGATGATCACAGAAATCAATTTTCAAAAGTTTTATTTAATTCAAGGGAGGATGTACGTCCAAGACGATCAGAAAAATAAATTTATGGTTCATTAGATTAGAACCTTTTCTCCTGTCTCAAAAATGTATACATCCCTCCTTGAATAAAACAGTGTTTAATTTACAAGAATTAAACTAAATTTTAATTTACCCTATAATTTTAAATACCCCACTGGCATGTTCGAGAGTTATCAAAAATAACGTATCTCCAACTACAATTTCATGAGTGCACATAGATGCAGTTAAATAACTGAAAATCATAATAAAGTTGTGATGTTTCTTCGGAACCAGACCAAACTCAAACATATTAACCATTTCTTTTGATTCATCAGCCATTTTGAATATTTTCATTATCAGCGGAATAGAATATGTTATCATGTAAATTAGAACATTTCCATAGAGACCAACTATAAATAAATAATTAGTAGATTTTCTTGTTATATTTCATTTCTGTAATTAAAAGAAAATATATGAGTAGATACTCATGTATAAAATGATGTAAAATCTGCACTGTCTTCCATATTTGTGAAGAATATTAATTCCACGCTCTGACGATTTATCCCAATGTTTTTGTATTTGCCAAAAAATGTAGTTTAGCTGAGAAGTAATTGTATAAATAATTATTTCACTAACGAAAGAAAGTAATTACTTTTATATTAAGAAAGTGGTTCTGCATAATTGAAGACATCAATTTTTGTTATCCACTCCCTCATGTTTGATAATTTATTTTCTTTACTCAATGATGAAAAATTTAAATTACTTGTTTTAACTTCATATTGTTATTGACAGAAATAATTAGACTCATTGCTCCATAGCAACATGGTGGTATGCACTTTAATAGCAAATCTACATTATCAAGTTTCTCTACCAGTCCTGCAAACTAATAATAATAATATTTCTATTGAATTCCCGAATGTATTATTTTTCGAAAGGATCATTTTCCCGAACATCATTTTCTCCGCATTGGTATTTCCGCTTAGATATTTAGTGGAATTAATTATACCGATATTTTCTTATGCCTGGATATTTTCTTATTTTCTATAATGTCTGGACCACTTCATTTTAGATTTTTTTGATATATATGAGAGAGGAACAAGATGTGTCATTCGGAAAGATCTATTCGGGAGAATGATCATTGGGATAAAATTCATTCGGAAAATTTATTCTTTATTCAGGTGTGCGAATACTCAAATATCTGTATTTAATACTGTATTACCTGAAAAATTACTCCACCAAGTACGATTAGAAAATTAATGAATTTTATTATGTTATTTAACCACTTGGGAAGAGATGTATTGTGTCCTGAAATAGTTAACATTGGTCTGGCCACACTGTAATATGGATTCTCTGCTATGTTCATTTTTTACCTGCTGTATACGCAATGTTGTCGATGGGTATAATGCGAATGGTAGAAGTACGTATGGATACCCCAACTACTCGTTAAGAATTCTGAATTCATTATGCGTTCTTAAATATTCAATCGCGAGAAATTGTATTTCAGGAAAAGCTACACCAATGTACAATTATAAATAATTGCTCTCCTTACAGTGCCTAAAGTTGCCTTTCAGAAAGTTGACAATACCTGTAATTATAATAATAATAAGTTACAAAGATTTTACCATTTTAAGGAAAGGAAATTTAATTTATACTTCTGAATTAAAAGGTCTATTGATTTCGTTGATGTGACTATACCAGGATTTAGTCTTTGCGTCCTTTTCATTGACACAATTCACTGCATGGAAGCATATTTTCTATTCTATGAAGGAGAATCGTCTTCGTCTCCGATTTTTTTGAAACATTTCCGAAAGAGATCTTTACCAAGAATTGGGACATCATCTGTACAATGATCTTGATACTTTGTGGAGTCCTGAGGAAATTTTGAAAACATTTGTAGAATGGTACGTGGAAAAATTGAAATGATTATTTCCTCTCCCTTTCTCTACTCGAAATTAAAAATTTGGTTCTTTTACCGCTCTTTCTAGTAATTTTCCTTTTCTTGTCCGAAATCGACATTTTTATTGTAGAATAATTTTATCCTTAAATGAAAAGAGTATAGACATGCAAATTAGGTAAAGAAAGATATTTAATGGCAATTTAATAATTGCAATTTATTAGTAAGGGCACTGTGTTTCATTCATACGGCCCTGGCATACCGCGGGGTTCTCGGCGTGAGCGCAGTCGCTCCAAGTCTCCCCACCAAGTACGAGTAGCGAAGCTCCGCCCTCATTCCCAACTATAAAAGTCAGACGCGCGACAGCAGACCTCTCATTTCCCTGAAGCTGCCTAAGTGGAAAGAACTCTCCGATTAAAATTTTTATACCATGAATTTCACCTATACCACACCAAAAATCATTTATCATTCTTCATATTCAATATTTATTGTGATTTCTTGTAAAATTCCTGGAATTGGTGAGTTATTTGTTACATCCAGACATATTTTAAACTTTACTAATTATCATAAATTGTTATTATCCTTATTTGTAGTTATTTCAGTACCAAATTTGCAAATCCCTGTTTCGCTACCTAATCCACCATTTAATTTTATTACTAATCAGTAAATACGAGAAATTAGTCTTTACATCCTATTCATTAACACAACACAAATATCGTTCATACGATATCTTGGACACTCCTGGGCGCAGACTTTATTTTGATTCCGAAAGAGTTTACCTACCTTCGTTTTTCGGTACCCGAAGTACTATACTGCTTGAGCCTGATCTTCGAGTGCAGCAGAAAATAAAATTATACTTTCGCCGTTGAGTTATATGGATAGAGAAAGAAAAATTAATAATGGTAAACAAGCGGAACTAATTTTAAAGAACAGAAAAAATTTGCCGTCACAGTTAAGTAATGATAAAATAATCTTGGTTTGTAAAAGAACAATTGACAATGATTGACAAAACTAACATTAATATATTTCATCTGTGATAGACAAATCCATTTTATGATATTAAAGACAATGAGTTTACTTATTTGACATATAATACAGACTCTATACCACATTTATTTTCAGATTAAGCGTCTCTGCCTGTTTGTAGGCCCAAATTGACCAAAAATTAGAGTTGTGCAAAATGCTCGATCGAGTATTTTCAAGCTTTTCGTTTTTCTAACAGAGCTGAGCAGAATCAATTCGAACTTGAACCAAATTCCATCCGACACGTGCAGTATAAAAGCTAAAATAATTTTGAGCACTTGAATTTTTCGAGCACTCAAATATTTTTGAGTAACTAAAAAATTTATAATGCTCGAGTATCGAGCCCGGCTCGAGCTTTTTGCACACATCTACCAAAAATATTATTTATATTGAAGTTGAGGGCTCTGAATCTGTGTCCGTGTCACCGTCACTGCGACGCTCATTCTTTAAGACGCTACTCTCAGGCCAATTTGCAGTGACGATTTGACAAACTGTTGGAGAATTTTCATAATTATCGGCAGTCTCCAATCTGATGTAGGGGGCTTTTGTTCCCTTTTTGTTTCTTAAAGATGTACTCGTACTTCTTGGCCATTGTGGAGCTTTCTTTGTATTTTCCGTAAAATTAGTATCTATTTTTTTTCCATCTGATGTTGGTGAGTTTTTATCAGTTTTCGGTGACGTGTCGCCAGTTAAATATTTCTTCATCCATTTCGGTGGTTCACTGGCGTAAGCGTGTGTTTTTTTGGTATACTTTGGACTGGAGAGTATCAACGGACACTCCGTCTCAATAACTGTTGTGATTACTTTTTCATTTTCATCGAAATTACTTTCTAGGTATTTCTTTTTTGGTATTGTCACTTTATTGACTTTGGCCAATCCGGTTGTTGATCGACCGCCCTCGAATTTCGTTTCAGTTTCGTAGGTGTATGCAAAATGACGTTGAATGTGAACCGGTTCCTCTTTCACTGTATTTTCATTTTGTTTTGTACTGTCACGTTTGGAGAAGAAATCTTTCTTGTCTGCACTTTCCTTTCTTCCGAGTAAAAGTTTTCTCCCTCGGTTTTCCTTCTTGCCAAATGTTTCGATAACAATAGAGTGTTCTTCAGTAACTGACATTCGGGCATTCTTGTCAGCCACTTTACCAAGGGCAAGTGAGAGTGAATTTTGCCTTGTGGTGCACGCGGTGATGCTGTGCCTTTGTTTTAATATCGGTGGATCGAGGAGTCTCCGAAGACTCGCGCTTCTTATTTCCGGCACTGAGAGTCTCTCCCTTGGCGGTGGTTTTGGCAAAAGAAGCATTGGCGGTGTGATTGGTAAATTCGTGGAATTCTTTCGATATGGAATGACATTTTTATCGGACGGATGTAAAATCGGAGTTGTAGTTATCTTCAAAACGTTCTCAAGCCCCTCGACCGTGGGACTTTTTGCCTTGAGATTTTGAGGCACTCCGAATAATTTATTTTGATTAGACATTTCAATGGGGGAACTGGCAATTGGCAAGAGTGATGATCTGCGTCTTCCTGATGGAGGATTTAATTGGCTGTCCAAGCTGAACCTCTGTTTTGGAGTTCCAGCCATCGCTGCCAGATCGTTTTTAGTCTCCAACTCGGGAATGGAAAATCTATCACGATTAAATTGAACCAAATAATTGGACCAGTCTTTTTGTACTCGATATCGAGCCACTGATCCGAAATCTAATTGTGACAGTCGTTCTCGCTTTGAAATGTGTTGCATTGTCCCTAGAGGCGATGTACTGAAACCTGGAATTCGTTTCTGCTTGGCAAATGTTGGCGAACGGAGGAATGACGCTAGATCTCGCTCTGTAACTCCTAGAGACGGTTGCGAAAGTCTTTGCTGGGAAATGGTGACAGGATAGTAATCGCCAGTGACCAAAGTTGGTTGAGAAAGTCGTTCTCTTCTTCCACTTTGGATGTTACTCCGAGAAACTCGGGATAATCGTGGACTTATGAGAGATCCACGTTCTGGTTCCTTGGAATTGAGGCGTTCTTCTTCTTGCAAACTGGAAAATGATTGTCGCGCTCCAATTGCACAATCGAGAGTTATGGGAAAATTACTGGGACACAATGTAGGCTGAGACATTCGAAATCGTCGATCTGCTCGTCGACTTTCGGTGTATGGACCAAGGAAACTTGTGAGATTTGGTTGTGAATAGCGGCTCCGACCACCGGGTGATGGAGAAACTGATTGTTGGCTAGCTGATTCCGAATTGCTCATTGCCGTACTGGAGGGATCTTCAATTTCAATCTCTAGATGAGTTCGAGGAATTTCTGGCAGAGGATGGAGATCGGGATGAGAGAGTCGAGTCATTCCCTTTCTTCCGGTGCCTTGGTACTTTCGCAAATGGTCATCCAGGTTGGGTTGAGAGAGGCGGATACATGGATTTGGAGGAAGAGGTCTAAGATTTAAATACCAAAGATCCCGTCGGGAATATGGCTCACATCAGAGAGTGCCTTCCTCGCGAAGACGACGCATAAAAACTGGCCGTACGTCTTCAAAAAATGTCGGTAGATCTAATTCCGCTGCTCGTGCAATTCCTCCATCTTTACACACCAGCCAGTAGGTGTCCATTGATCCTTTACCCTTGAAAAATTCGTATAATTTCATTATGTATTTTCTGCCCTATCTGTACTACAATTACTTCTACTTTATTGTAAGATCACAATAAAGATAGAAAATTTGGGGAAAAGTTTCTCCAGCGAATAAAATAGAATCATTTTCTCCGTTAATAAACTTTCACTTGAACAATAAAAATAAATTCAAAGTTAGGTACTTACTTTTACGTCGACAAGTCCACGATGCTCAATTCGAAATCCACCCACAGCATCTAGTGCTTTCTTCATCTCCAAACTGATGTGAATTCTCAAAGCTGAAAAAAAAATGCAAATACATTGCACAACCTAATTGAGATTTGTACTTATAATAATAATTGAGGATTCAATTAGAAATTACCTTCTCCAGTTGATTCCATTCGACTAGCAGTATTGACCGTATCGCCAAATAAACAATATCGTGGCATTTTAGTCCCAACAATGCCAGCAACGACTGGTCCTGTATGAACTCCACTTCGAATTTGAAGTCGTTCTCCAGGTCGTTTCGGCACTTGGAATACAGAAGACGCTGCCAATAAATCCAAAGCCATTGTTGCAATTTCAGAAACGTGTTTATCACCTACAAAAAAGGTTCAAAACATTTAAAACAATTCAATATTAAATCCAAAATATCACTACTAAAAACTAAAATATCGTACTATCAAAACTATTATTTAGAAGTACTTTTTATTTAATTTAAAATTCTCATTTTAATCTCCAAATCTAATTAGTATTTTTTATTAGTATTATTTATCACTATAATCACTTTTTAAAACTTAATTTCCACTCATGCGTAAAATTAGTATCAGAAGAAAAGAGAATTCTCACCATTTCTAACTGGTAAGCCTGAAGCGACCATGTAGGAATCGCCTATTGTTTCAACTTTATAAACATCGTAGCACTCAATTCTCGCGTCAAAGAGTTTATAAATTGAGTTGAGAAATGTTACAACCTAGAAAAAAAATGTGTAAAGAAAACCTTGAAGCCTTATTTTTAATTAAAACTCATGCTCTAGAAAGAGAGTTTTAAAAAAATAATCTTTATTCTTTTATAAATCTTCTCAATTTTATATTTAAAAAGATCTTTGTGAACTGTTTTTAATATACTTATTATTATAATTCTAATTTAATTAAATAAGAGGCTGAATGATATGCATCATTTAACTTCCATCCTTTTGTAGCATCCATAGTGACAAATAATAATTTCAAAAGATATCTTTCTAAATTATTTTTCCCCAAAACTCTTTTTCTTTCATTCACTTTTTTTGGCACTTGTTTTAAGGATTAGCCTCGACAGTTTTATTACGGCGTGTTACAAATCATACAAACTTTACATAAAACATCATATTAGCCTTCCAATATCGGAAGTACACAAAGAGGAAAGCGGTTCACATTCCATGTGCCTGCATGTCATCAGATTACAACATATTTCTTCCTCAAAGTAGTAATAAAAATTCTTTCGATAAAACATAATCGAATTTAAGAGGGTCATCCTTCAAAAGAATTTTTGCTCCTATTTCTGACATAATCAAATTACAATTGCCTTTTTTTCTACATACCTCGAGTGGTGTATTTTCTGCAGCAATTTCCGTAAAACCAACTATATCACTAAAATATACGGTAACAGCTTCGTAGTACTCGGCCGGTACCTGTAAATTAAATTATTTTAATTTTCAATTAATCCCAGCTAATAAAATACTATGGTTATTAATTGCAAGCTAATTCATTTCAAGATGGGTTGTAAATGTAATATTTAAATACAGATAAAAGATGAAATGCATGAAAAGAAAAATAGATTTTGACTTTAATCGAACTTGTTTTTCAAGTACCTGTTGTGTCTGCTTTAATTGTTGAGCAACACTGGGTGGTAACATCTGAAATAAAAGTGTATCACTCTTTCTTTTTTCGCGTTTTAATTCACGCGCCTTTTGTGCCAGATTTGCAGCATACATCTGTTTTTTTGTAAAAATGTTTATTAAAATATATTCAAAGAATTATAAATTCTATGATAATAATTATTAATTACTTCTAACTCGTAGAATTCTTAATTAATTCTTATATATATATTAATTTAAATTTTGTAAGCAAAGCAATAGAATTATTACATTTTTCTATAAATACGTTTTCGAAATAAATTCTTTTACCTGAATTGTGCCAACTGCATTCCGCATTAAGAATATAATAATTGGAGAAACAACTAAGACCAGGACGACTATTGCAATTCCAGCAACTTCACTACTGCTCGCATCTTTTAGATTCGAATTCACATATTCTCTGTTAATTACAAAATCATTACTTTATTATAAATTATTATGGTATTTAAATTAAGTTTTTGAATAAGCTTTAAGAATAGATTCTAATTCAACAAAATTCCTATATTTTGGATTAAAAGAAGTGATTTTGTTTTGTCTGGTGTATTAAGTTGGGAACAATATAATTAGCTTAGGGCACAAGTGAACGTCAAATTTCCTCCCTTCATCTCTGTAGGATGCATAGGGAATTTGTGTGGTCTATCCTTTTGAAATAATTAACTCCTATCAATTTCATACTTTGAAAGTGAGCCAAAGCGTACCTTATCATGCGTCGTAGTTCTCGCTGAAGTTTACGAAGTTCATCAATATACGTGGCCATCGAATCAAAATAATCGATGGCGTCGTTCACGCTCGGCTCTCGTTTTTTATTTTTCAAAATCTCCTCACGTCTATAAAATTTAAATGTGTAATTTAATTTCCAATTGGGAATTATTAATAAAATAACTAATTCGTAATTAATATCGGCAATTGTCGGACGCTCTTCTAATTAATAGTCGACAAGGATCAATTTTGTAACATTCAGACCAAAAATGACTTATGAAAGGGATAGAGAGCAGAAAGGAACTTCTGCTTCTATTTTGATGAATGTTGATCAGTCTGCTGATGAGGAGGAGTGCAAACAGACTCGTACCATCTGTTTTAGATGACAGGACTAAAAAAAGGAGTATGCACCTCCAGGAAGGATTGACATGGAGATACCAAAGATATGTTGATTTGGGTCAATTGGATAAGTTGCTCTGAAGGGATCTAATTATCAAAGTTTCAGGAAAGACGTTTGTTGACGTTCTGAGCTAACTCCGTAATCCAGACGAAAGAGACTCCAACATAAAGTTTATCGTCAGAAAAATTCGTCAAAGCGGTTAAAAGCATGGAAAAGGTACAGTCGGTGGATCGAAGAGTTACTCTCGAAATCGGTGACCTAGAAGCAAGGTCCTAGGACCCAACAAGTAGGGGATGAAGCTCAAAGTTATAGTCCGGACATCCTAGAGAATTTTGAACTTTTGTCGAAATTTTAAAAACCTCCACTGGTAGTTCCGGTTTGTTTTATTATCCATAACGACCAGGACAATTCTAAGAATGTCGTTAAAACAATTCATGTCCCCGTACCCATTGCGAATGATTTTTTTTTATTTCTTTAATACGCGTTAAAGAATCAAGAAATTGAATTAAATTGAAGGCGCACTTACCATAAAAACCAATAGTCATTTAATTATTTTTTTAAATAAAGAAAAAAAAATTAAGTTTATGAGAAAAGAATTGTAAACGTGCCTGGATTTAATAAGTCCATAATTATCCATAGTGCGAGTGAGATTACTGTAAAATTGTTTGAGGCCCGGCACGTAGGTGAGAGATCCGTTAAGAAGATCTCGACCAATTGAATCGTGGCGTACGTAGCTGACATAATTTTCACCCACAAGGATTCCTCGGCCAAAGTAATTGATTCCATAAACCGATGCTATGCCAAGGCTTTCGATGCTCCGTAACAAATTTTTGAAAGCAATAAGATATCTAGAAGCAAAAAGTACAAAAGCTTTTTAATATATTTCCGATTCCTCCAATTGACTCGAAAGTTCCCTCTTTGAAAATAAAAAATTTTTATTTCAATTAAAAATTTTATATTTTCATCTTTACAAATTTAATTTTCTAAACTTTAAAAAGAAAGAAACAAAACCAGAAAGGATTTAGTTGGCTTCTGTAGAAAAAACTACTCTTGAATTATTAATTAAATCTTTTGAATTTACTGATTTCTTCTAATCTCGAAAGAGTAAAAGACTTTCAATTATTAATAGATCATTTTCTCTGACGTACTCGGTGGAATTTTTTTGTTCGATTTCTTCCAGCTTATAATGCTAGACATTGTAACCTTTTGAGCGTAAGTCTTTACAGATGAATGGTCACTTGACTCTTTTCATAGTCTTTTTTCCCCTTGACTAAATTAATCTTGTATTTAAAAATTCATTTTAAAATTCATATTAAAATTCAATTTTGTGAAATAAAATTCTCTAAAGATTACTTAAATATTTTTTTTTGGAAAACAACATTACCTCCATACACCACTATTATCAGTCTCTTTAATTTGATTAGTTAGATGATCTAACATTGCTGCATTTACACTTGTGTACCAAGCCATTACTTCCGTTATGCTCTTCTCCTCGGAGCTTATTCTCTTTCTGAAACAAAATTTATTTCCTATGGTATAAGAAATAAAAAAAGTTTTGAAAAGATAAAGACATTTTTATCCCATAAATGCGAGCATAAATGATAAAAGTTGTGCTGATATTTTTAGGGAATAAAAGATATTATTAAGAAAAAAAAAATGGTTAATGAGAAAATGATAGAGCGAGGAAATTTGTACGTCAGATATGATATGACACGTAACGACAATAAGCGCATGACGAAAATTAATAACGA